GAAATGTTCCTTCATACCGCCTGCCGCCCGCCAGAACTCTATTTTGGATGTCACCCGCTGAGCAGAACTCACTGATCAGCATACTGTTGGATTCGTCGCCGATTGGAGCGAACTTTCATGACGGCATGTAAATTTACACGGAGCGCGTTCGACATGCGCCTCGGTGGTATTGTGGCATCATGCGTGCACGCTGGAGGTGGGATGAGCAGCAACAGCGCGAGGGAAGTCTGGGCTCCCCAGAGCGCCAGCTTCTTCAGCCGGTGCTTCAGGCTCGCGCACGGCTGCTCTGACGCCATGGCCTTCGCCACGACAGCCTCCGGTGTCCCTCTCCTGCGGCGGGGCGGGGATGCAGTGACTGCGCAGGAGGAATAGGAGACGGAGCAGGGAGGGGACCCTTTCCAGACAAGAACGGGAAGCGCCACTTCTCTGAGCTAGCATGCGCACGCGCGCATGATTGCACCCGACACGCATGTGTGCGCATGGGGTGCCATCGCTGTGGTCTCCTGCGTGCCCAGATGGTTGCCATTGGTAGCTTACGTTCAATGATTGCCTGCGTTTGCTTCGGTCAGGTGTTGCGCGTGGCCTGTGCACGTGTGTTTGTGTGCGTGTGTGCGAGTGCCTGTGTGTCTGTGTGTGCCTGTGTGCGGCTGTGTGCGTGTGTGCGGATGTGCGTGCAGGGCGTGTTGGGCGCGCGGAAGATGGCCCCAAGACGGCCCCAAGAGGGGCCCAAGCAGGGGACGACCAACCGAACATTCGATATTTGTGCCCCGAGAAGCCCCCAGGAGGCCCCCAGAGGCCCCAAGGGGCGCCCAGACGCGCCCAAGAGGCCTTCAAGGGGCCTAGAAGGATCCCCCACGAGGCCCCAAGAGGCCCCCAAGAGGCGCTCAAACTGCATCCAAGAGGCCCACGAGAGGCTCCCCACGACACCCAAACACATATACAAGAGCCGCAGACCCACAACCCAGGCACGGTGGCGGGTAGGGTCGAAGGTCACTAGGATCCGCCGCCCCCTGTTGATTCATCACAAGGGTGCCTGGCATGCTAGATCCTTTCGGTTTGGGTGTTGGTTCTTTTTCCCAAAGAACTCCCCCTGGGGCTTCGGCCCGTCCCGCCGGCCACCCCGAAAGAAACTCAATCCCCAATTGTTCGTTCAAGATGGCCCAAGATGACCTCCAAGACGGCCACGATGGCCTCCAAGACGGCTACGATGGCCCCAAAATGCCTCCACGACGGCCCAAGATGCACCCAAGACGGCCTGAGATGGCCTCCAAATGGCCCAAGACGGCCCAAGAGCCTCCTAAGAGGTCTCCAAGACAGCCCAAGAGGCCTCCAAGAGGTCCTCTGGGAAGGCCCGAAGAGGCCCAAATCAATGATTTTCCGTAGGTTGAAGGATTTTGGCATTTTCGCATTTTCGGCCTTCCGACGGCCCAAGAGGACCCCAAGATCGCCCCAAGATCGCCCAAGAGGTCTCCAAGATGGCCCCATGACGGCCGAAGAGGCCCCCAAGAGGGCCCCAAGACGACGGCTACGATGGCCCCAAGATGCCTCCAACACGGCCCAAGATGCACCCAAAACGGCCTGAGATGGCCTCCAGATGGCCTAAGACGGCCCAAGAGGCCCCCGAGAGGCCTCCAAGACGGCCCAAGAGGCCTGCAAGAGGTCCTCCAGGACGTCCCGAAGAGGCCTCCAACAGGTCCTCCAGATTCCGACGTCTCAACACGGCCCAAGAGGCCCTCAAGATCGCCCACGAGGCCTCCAAGATGGCCCCATGACGGCCCAAGAGGCCCCCAAGACGGCCCCAAGAGGGCCCCAAAGGCCTCCAAGACAGCCAACATGGCCTCCAAGACGGCTAAGATGGCCCCCAAATGCCTCCAAGACGGCCCAAAATGTTCTCGAGACGGCCTAAGATGGCCTCAGGATCGCCCAAGACGGCCCAAGAGGTCCCCAAGAGGCCTCCAAGACTGCCCAAAAGGCGTCCAGGAGGTCTTCCAGGAGGGCACGACGAGGCCCAAATCATTGATTGTCCTTAGGTTTTTGGCAGATTTTGGCATGTGCGTCTTCTCGGCGTTCCGACGGCTCAAGACGGCGCAAGAGGCCCCGCAGATCGCCCAAGAGGCCCCATGACGGCCCAAAAGGCTCCCAAGACGGCCCCAAGCGAGCCCCAAAACGACCCAAAAGGCCGCTAAGACTCCCAAGATGGCCTCTAAGAACCCCTGATATGCCCCAAGAGGGCCCCAAGACGACCCAGACAGGCCGCCTAAGACGGCTTCCGACGGCGTCAGACAAGCCAGGAACGCCCTAAGACGGCCAAAGAGGCCCCCAAAGGCCCCCCAAAAACATCCAAGAGGCCCCCATGAAGCTCCCAGGAGGCCCCAAGAGTGCCCCAAGAGGTCTCCTCCTCCTCCTCCTCCTCGTTTTTCCTCATCCTCCCCCTCCTCCTCTTCTTGCGCCCCCATGCGTTCCCCGAAGTCTTTCCAAACCGACTCGGGGAACAACTGGCCAGATAGCTTGGCCAAGCTCCGACCCAGGTGTCGGCCACAGAGGCGCTTCCCAAGGGGCAGGGGGCGGCGGTGATTCGCCGTAGGCGTCTTCGACAACGCCCACGTCTCAATATGCGCTGATGATGCCTATCCGCCCCCGCATGGTGTTCCCAGATGCGCCAAGGCCGCGCCGAGACCCAGAGATGCGACTCTGACAGATCCTATTATGATAGAGAGGGGGCTGGCGGCAAGGGGCTAAGCCCTTACGGATATATGATAAAAGGAGAAGCGGAGGCCGATGCCACAACCCCCTCGGGCTTCCTGCCAGGATGGTTGAGAGAGCCATGCGGTGACATGCTCGTCCTCGCGTTTTCCTCCTACGTATTCCTCCTCCTCCTCCTCCTCCTCCTCATCCTTATTCTCCTCCTCCCTCGTACGTACTCGTGCTCGTGTTCGTGCTCGTGTTCGTGCTTGTGTTCGTGCTCGTGTTCGTGCTCCTCTTTTTGTAGCTCATCCTCCTCCTGCTTCTCCTCCTCCATCTTCCCCGCTTCTCCTAGTCCTCGTCCTCGTCTTCGTCCTCGTCCTCGCCCCCCCTCCTCCTCCTCCTCCTCCTCCTCCTCCTCCTCCTCCCTCCTCCTCCTCCTCCTCCTCCTCCTCCTCCTCCTCCGTCTCCTCCTCGTCCTCCTCTTCCTCCTCCTGCTCCTCCTTCTCCTCCCCCTCCTCCTCCGCCTCCCCATCTTCCAACTGCCTTTAACTACGATTGCCTAGAGGGTCCTTAGCCCTTGCTGTGTTAGTAATGACATACTTGTGAGCCCTGCGAGCGCGGGGGCTGTGCACGTCCTGCCAGTAGCACTGCTGCCAGGAAGCTCGCTCCGAACGTGTCGGGTCCGCTTCCAGTGCGCTGCCCAGGGCTGAACCTAAATGGTGTTTTTCGTTTTCGTTTTGTTTTCGTTTTCCCTCGCTTTTGTCTTCAATCCGCCTCTGCCGCAAAACGACGTCGAAACGAAACCGGCCCACGAAATCGCCGAAACACCGCTCAGGTCCAGCCCTGCAGTGCACTTCGCGCTGCCGGCGTCGGTGACGGTGCTCTTGACAGGAAGGCCACTCCGAGCGTGGCGAGACGGCCAGCGCACACTGCGCCGCCAGAGCTGCTGCCCGCTCTGGCGCCCGGAAGCTCCCTCCGAGCGAGCCGGCTCGATTCCTGTGCACCTAACGTTAGGTCGGGCCTGTCGCCCTACAGGGGGATTTTGGACGAAAAATAAAAATAGTCAAAACATTCTCACAAATGGTGAAGAAATGCTCAAAAAATAGTCCCCAGACTATTTTTGGACTATTTTTGAATATTCCTCCTGTAGAGGGACAGGCCCGACTTAAACCTGACGCTGCCAGCGCGGCCGCCCACAGGGTGACTCTGGCTGTGCCAGCTCGCTGCTTCCTCACGCCGCGCTTCGCCCTCGTCGGCAGGCAGCGCACTCCCAGCGCACCTGCACGTTTCTGGTGCGCGTCGCACCGCGCACGTGGGCGTGCCGAGCCGCTTCTGATGCACGTCGCGCAGCCCGCACCAGCGGCAGGAAGCTCACTCCGAGCGTGCCAGCGGGGAGTTTGGAAATTGAGAGTGAGGGAGTGTGGGGGGGAGGGGGGTAGGGGGGGCGGGGAGCTGGAGAATGCGAAGGGAGGGGGAAGAGAGAACAACTCCTTCCGGCATCTCGCCGGGCGAAGAAGTCGGAGAACCACTCGATGGCGTCCTTGAGGGGAGGGCCAAGGGCGCAAGTAGGTGGAAGGCGGAGGGTCACATGCCCGTTCCCCTCCTCCCCTCCTCGTCCCCCTCCTCGTCGTCGTCGTCCTCCTCCTCCTCCTTCTCCTCCTCCTGATCGGCCCCCCGCTCGTCGGCCCGTCGTCCTCACACTTTTCAGCGCTCTTCTGCAGCACATCCCTGGCCCGCTGGCCTCCGAGTGGCAGCGGAAGGTGAGGGAATTGAGCTGGAATTCGCGAACACCGCAACGCTCATCCACCCACGCTTCGCCGACCCCGCGTCTGATTTCGCGGATCGACGACGTTGCGCCCGCAGCAATGCTGCACGGGCTCGACCTACACTCGCGCAAAACGAAAATACAAAGCAACCCGACGAGACGGACGGGCATGTCGAGCTCATGCACACCACGTGTCCAAGACATGGATCGAATAAGCATTCCACACGAGGGGAACCTCACATACCTCGGCCACTTGATGAACTTACACAAGCCGATGGACACGGAAATTCACCACCGCACGAGATCAGCATGAGCATCGCTCACTTGTCGCAAGCAAGAGCTGACCAGCAAGTACTACCTTCTGGCTCAACTTGGGATGGGGAAATGTGCTGCAACATCGTTAACTGATCCAGGGCTTGCGCTGGCCATCCTTTTCCAGCTCCTTCTCCTCCTCCTTCTCCTCCGCCTCCGCCGCCGCCTCTTCGTCCTTTTCCTTCTCCGTCGTAGGGGGGCTAGGCTATGGCGGTCCTCCTCGGCAATGTCGTCGCAGTCAGCCCACCTTAATTACGCTCGAGGGCGCCCTGCTGTCGGCGGACGGTCGGTCGGCACGACGCGACTGGTCGTATCGCGTCACTGCTCTGGAGCGAAAGAAGGAGACGAGAGGAGAAGCAGGCGGGGGAGGGAAGGAGGGAGGAGGGGAGATGGGAAGGAGCGACGGAGCGAGAGGGACAGGGGACAGACGAAGTGAAGGGGCATCAGGAGGAGAGAGAAGGGATGAGGGAGGTGAGAAGAGGCATGGAGAGATAGCAAGAGGAGGCGGAGGAAAAAGCTGAGCAGGAGGACGACGACGGAGACCACGGGCCTGACTGCGCCACACGCGCGCGGGCCTGGGGCCACGCACAGCCCCAGCCCGCGGGCCAGCGAAGAGGTGGCCCCCCCAGATGCTGCAGAAGGAGGCGGAGGAGGACGGGGCCAGCCCCAATCGGAAATCCCGAGAGGCGAAACCCGATACAAGATTGGGACAATCGTGGTCGGCCTATAGCTGCCAGCCAGACGTTCGTCTCGGGACTTGTGGATCACTTTGATCCTAGCTTGCTTCCACGTAGCCGGCGCCGTCGTGTCCGGCTTCAGCACGCCATTGCACAAGCACGTCAGAACGTCGAGCAACGCCTCGCCGCCCGCAACCCACTACTGGCTCCCTGGCTATTAGTGGGCCCTGGCAACGGCAGGGCCGTTTTTTCACCGTTTCCGGAAAAGTGTCCCTTGAAAATGAAAACGGTAAAATAACGGTGACCAGAAACGGCAACAAAAACGGCTCCAGGATTGGAACCGGAGCGGGAACCCGTAAAAGATCGGCGACGGAACCGGTAAAAAAACGGCGTCGGAACCGGCAACAAGAACGGCAAAACGGAACCGGTGAAAAAATGGCCCTGTCGTTTCCAGGGCCCGCTAAGCCCTGGCGCACGTGGGGGCGCTCAACAGCGACACAGCCAGACGATGGCCAAGGCGGCCGGAGCCCGACAGCACGCCGATGGCCGAGCGGGCATCTGCGAGAGCACGTGTCCCACACCTCTCGGCCGCTGCCTCCCGTGAGGCCGTTCGTGGCCAAGAGGTGCGCTATGGGCGCATTTTTTTTGTTGCTGCCGCCGCCCACCCCGACGCACACCCACTCGCCCGCCCCCTCCCCCCGTAGATCGGAGACAACCGTGCGAGGCAGAGCAAAGGAAGCATTCGTGGCGGAACATGGTATTCGTGTGCTCCTGCGGGGGTCGGCGGTGGACAAACCTCCATTTTATTTAGCAAACCTCACCTGAGTGAAACCGACCTGGGACCGAAACCGACGGACCTGGCCCCGCGAAAATGACGGCCGCGACGCCCTCTCGCGAACCGAAAACGGCCAATTCCTTAATCGACGAGTCAGGGTAAGAGGTCTGTCCACCTCCGAGTTCCTGCGGGGGGCATGCCACGTCATAGCCAGCTCTTGCAAGGGTCAGTTGGGCGCCAGAGCATCAGGGCACCAACACGGAGGATGGAGCGACGGTGGGGCGCAGATCCGCCACCGTGCCTTGAGGCACGAGTTAGAGTGCCCCCAGGTCCTTGGCCTTATCCCTTCCGCCTCAGTCTCAGGTCGGGCACGTCCCCCTACAGGCGGATTCTGGACGAAAAATGAAACATACCCAAAACATACCCAAACATAGCCAAACCATAACCAAACATCGTTTCCAGACCCATTATTTGACTATTCTTGCGTATCCCTCCTGTAGAGGGACGCGCCCGACTTACTTTTAAAAGCCCGGACCCCGAATGGCCCTCTGGGGCCCTCTTGGGGACCTCCTGCAAGGCTGGACCTAAACGTTGTTGTTCGTTTTGTTTTCGTTATGTGTTTCGTTTTGCCCTACCTGTTTTCCTGTATCTCCCTGCCAAAACGGAAAACAAAACACAGCCGAAGTCCAGCAAAACAGCGTTTAGGTCCAGCCCTGGCCTCCTGTGGCCCTCTTGGGGCTCTCTTGGGGGCCCTATCCGGGGGCCTCGGGGGCCTCTCTTGGGGGCAGTCTTGGGGCCCTCTTTGAGGCGTCTTTCGGGGCTGGCTTGGGCCGCCTAGGTCCGAACATGACCGGACATTTGGCGATTAGACCTGCTTGGCATGGGGACGGAAAGCGCAGGTTCTTTCTGTGAGGGCGCGAGGTCGCTGGCTTAGTGTCTTGGAGCCCTGTTGGTGTTAAAGCTTCGGTGCGACATACGAAGATCTCGAAACCAATCTTATGACAATCAATATGAATATTACATTTCCGTGCCTTTTTGGGGGTCCTTTTGGGGCTCGTTTGGGCCGTGAGACCGTCTTGGGGCCCTTTCGGGCCGTCCTGGGACCCTCCTCTTGGGCCGTCTTGGCGGGCTTGGGCTGTCTTGGGGCCCTCTGGGAGCCCTCCTGGGTTCCCTTGGGGACCTCCTGTGGCCCTCTTGGGGCTCTCTTGCGAACCTTTTGGGGTTCTCAGGGGCCTTCACTGGGCCGTCTTGGGGCTCTCTTTGGCTGTCTTGACGCCCACTTGGGCCATCTTGGGGGCCTCTGGAGCCGTCTCGGGGCGGTCTTGGGGGCCTCCTGGGCCGTTTTGGACGCAGTGAAAACCAAAGAAGCGGATATGCTAAAAATGTACGGTTTCCCTAGGGAATGTGACGAGTTTTGTCTCTCTGGGTTCCCTTTGAGAGCCTCTGGGGGCGTCTTGGGGGCCTCTTGGGCTGCCTTGAAGCCATGTTGGGCCCTCTTGGAGCGCTTTTGGGCCGTCTTCGGGCCCTCTTGGACCTCTCCGACGCCGTCTTGGAGGTATCGTGGGCGCTTTGCCGAAAATTGCCGAAACTTGAAGTGATTAGATCTGACGCTAGGGCTGCCTATACCCTCCCACCCCCCACGTTGTTATTTCTCCCGGCTAACAGATCGCGACGCTACGCGCGCTATCCGTCATCTGGGCCCCCCGAGGCCAACCCCCTCACGCTGTCCCTTGCTATTTCTCGACCAACGGGCAACGACGCCACGCGCGCTGTTCGTCATCTGGCAGTCCCGAGGCCAACCCCCTCACACTCCCCCATTGATCTGTCTCCCGACTCGTGGATCGCGACGCTACGCGCGCTGTCCGTCATCCGGGCGTCCCGCTGCCAACCCCCTCGGGTTTCCTCAAATGCCGCTCCCGACTGACGGACCGCATGCGAAGCGCGCTTTCCGTTACCCGCCGCCCCCCGTGCTTGCCACAGTGGCGCACGGCGTGCCAGACAGGCCTCGGAACAAATTAGCGAACACTCATGCCAAGCTCATCTGTCAACGCCTCCCCCCTCCCCCCAATGTTCAAAGTTGGCGGTGGGTCTGATGAGATGCACTTCGACCGCAGTGTTTTCCGCGCGTGCCAGCATTGAGTTGGGGGGAGGGGGAGTGTTCAGTAATTGTTTCCCCCTACCGGATGTCGGGGGCTTGGGTTCCTTCCTACCAGAGCTCCCCCTGGGGTTTCGGCCCAGCCCGCCGACCACGCAAAAGGCGCGCCCATCCCTGGCCTCCCACCCTTCAGAGGACCCCAAGACGGCCGAGATGGCCTCCAAGACGGCCCATGGGGGCCCTAAGGGGGCCCAAACTGGCCGCCAGATGTCTAGTAAACGGCCCAATGTGTACCCAGGACGACCTAAGATGGCTTCAGCATGGTCCAAGACTGCCCAGGAGGCCCCCCAGAAGCCGCCAGAACGGCCCAAGATGCCTCCTAGAGGCTCTGCGGAAGGATCGAAGATATCAAAATCTGCGTTTCCCCTTTAGTTGTTGAAGGATGTTGGCATTTGCTGCTTCTCGGCCTTCCGACAGCCCAAGACGGCCCGAGAGCGCCCAAGAGGTCTCCAGGATGGCCCCATGACGGCCTAAGAGGCCCCCAAGACGGTCCAGATGGCCACCAAGACGCCCCCAGCGCGGCCCAAGAGATCTCCAAGACGGTCCGAAGCGCCCAAAGAGGAACCACGACTTCCCAGGAATGGCACAAGACGGCCTCTGAAGGCCAGGAGGCCACTAAAAGGCTCCCAAGAGGTACCAGGAAGCCCCCGAGAGGCCCCAAGGGCTTCCAGGAGACCCCCAAGAGGCCCCAGGAGGCAGGCTCCTAAGATGCCCCTTAGAACCAGGAGATCCCCAAGAGCCCCAGGAGGGCCTCAAGAGGCCTCCGTTTCTTCCTCCTCCGCCGTCTCCTCCCTCTCCTCTTCCTGTCTCTTCCTCTCCCCAGTATTCCCCCTAAGGGGTTCCACAACGGCTGGGGGAACACATAATTAGTCAAATAGCTCGGCCGCACTTCGGCCCAACGCTTGGCCGCATAGGCGTTTCCAGAGGGCAGGGGGCGGCGGTGATCTGCCGTATGCGCCTTCGAGGTCAGACCGAGGGGGAACAGGCAGGGAACGAGGAGAACGGCCCAGGTCCCCCCCCCAAGATTTACCCAGCAGGGGCGCGCTCCTGGGGAGGGCGTGGGTGATCCAAGCCTCAGCGGGGGCACGCTGGCATCAAGGGAGCGCCCGCCAAACCAACGCCATGGCCCACGCCCCCTCCAGAAGAGGGAGGGGGAGGAGGGGGTGGGAGGCAAGCTAGGCGCGCTCGCGTCGTATCTGACGTCCTACCCCTCCCTCCCATCCCTTGCCATGGAGTAGATCTCCCCTGTATTCGCACAATCGGATGTCGTAGCATGGCATAGCATTGCGTGGTTACGCTCCAAAATGTGGGGGGGCTTCTGCAGCCCAACAAATCAACGAAGCGGCAACGAATGTGTAGTCACTTCCGATGTTTTTTTTTCGGGAGGCATTTTCTATATTTTGGGGCCTGTTTGGAAATAGTGACGCCAGTGCTGCAGCGAATGCGCGACGCGAGACGAGCGGAAGCCCGAAAATGAGGCCAGCGCTTCAGCGGTACCACGATTCGGAACGAGCGGAAACCCGAGAATCAGGCCAACGCTTCAGCGGCAACAACATTTTGAAAAAGAACCCAAGCGGAAATCTATTTCCCGGGAATCCTGTGTGTAAAGAAGAATACGCGGAGGGGGGCCGGATATCTTCCAGACGTCATCAGGGGAAAGAGGAGAAAGGAGAGAAGAGGAGGAGGGAAGCAAGGATGAGGGGGCCACAAGGAAGGCCGGGGGATTGGTTTGACACGACCGCCTTGCCAACCCCACCAGGCACACCGACTTCGACCCATGCCTTCAATCCCTGACCGGCTGATACTCGTGGAGGCCTCTGCTCTCTGTGTCGGGTAGTCTCCCCCTTGCCGCTTTCACGGATCATCGCAGTTGCCGCCGCATCAGCATCCACCTCCAGCAGATTTGTCATCAACGGCAGTGGCCCTGTCACCGTGTTCGTCGTCCTCACCATCCTCGCCCGTGCCGCTGAGCAAGCGACGGGTCGCCCTCGAGCAGACTCCTGTCGGGACGCCACGACTCCCTCGGGGCAGCGCTCGCGTTTCTCGCGAAGACCTCTGCCGGCTGAGGCGCGCGCGCGCGAGCGGCAGCCGCGCGAGAACGTCAGGGGCGGGGACGGGCCGGGGGGGAAGACGGCAGCGAGGAGGGGGGACGGAGGGGCGGAACGGACGGGGAGGGACGGGGAGGTGCGAGGAGGCGGACGGGGGCACGGGGGAGAGGGGGAGGCGGAAGGGGGAGGGGGCGGAGGAGGGGGGGGGGAGGGAGGGAGGGAGGGAGGGAGGGAGGGAGGAAGGGAGGGAGAGAGAGAGAGAGAGAGAGAAAGAGAGAGAGAGAGAGAGAGATAGAAAGAGGGAGAGAGAGACGATATAACATGGAAGGAGGGCATGGGGAGGGGAGGGGGGAAGAAGAGGGCGGAGGGGGTGCGGGCCGAGCGGAGAGGGGTGGGGAAAGCGGGATCAAGGGGGCACATGAAGAGGGGCGAGGGGCGAGGGGGGTCGCCCAAGAGGCCTCCCAGATGGCCAACAATCGGCCAAGTATGCCCCCACGACGGCCCCCAAAGGCTCCCATCCCAAGACGGCCTCAAGACGGACCTGAAGCGCCCCAAGAGGGCCCAGAGAGGCTGCCAATACGACTACCGACGGCATCAGACGGGCCAGGAACGCCCCAAGACGGCCAAAGAGACCCCCAAGACGCCCCCAAAGGCTTCCGAGATGCCCAAACAGGTGTCCAAGAGGCCCCCAAGAGGCACCCAGGAAGCTCCCAGGAGGCTCCAAGAACGACCCAAGAGGCTCCCAAGAGATCTCCTCATCCTTCTCCTCATACTCCTGTTTCGTCCCTCTCCTTATCCTCCTCTTCCTCCTCCACGTGTTCCCCGAGGGACTTCCACGCCGGCCGGGGGAAACGCATATGGTCCAATAGCGTGGCCAAACTTCGCACAGACGACTGGCCACACAGGCGTACCCAACGAGGCAGGGGGCGGTGGTGATTCGCCGCAGGCGTCTTCGGTCCACCGGCCCATGTGGTCTCGCCAGAGGGGGACACGGCGTGCCAAGCATCGGGCTGGTCTTCGGTCCTCGGGCAACAGGGCCCCAAGAGAGCCCAAGACAGCCCCAAGACGACCTCGGGCCCCCGAGGGGGACCCCCAGGAGCCCCTGGAGGCCCCCAAGATGCCCAAATCAGGGCGCCCTGGAGGCCCCCAAGAGGCCCTGGAGGCCCCCAAGAGGCCCCGAGAGGCCCCAAGAATCGCCCAGACCGCCCCTGGGGACGCTTCCAAGAAGCCGCCCAAGAGATTATCACAGGCATCCCAGTGGTCTCTGACTTATACCCTAGGCGTGGTGGCGGGATGGGCCGAAGGCCACCAGATGTAGGTCGGGCATGTCCCCCATACAGGCGGGTTTTGGACGACAAATGAGAAATACCTGAAACAACAGTAACAAAACGTCCCCAGACTATGTTTTACTATTTTTGAATATTCCTCCTGTAGAGGGACAAGCCCGACTTAACACTAGATGCTCTAAGTAAGCCTTCAATGAACCTCTGGCCAGGCCAGCTGGCATGCGCGCTGCGTCACGACTCTCGGTGCTGCGCGCCACTTCGCCAAACTCCCAGGCAGCGCCCGCCGATGCGCCGCCGGCGACCTCGGTTATCCCAGCTAAGCACCCCAGTTAGCAGGGCAGGGTGCGTGCTCTGACAGGTCCCAGGGCACGCACATTGGGCATGCAGCCTGCTCGTTGTCCCAGGCCCTCACTGTCACGTCGTAGATTATTGCCGGCCCCTTCTCGTGCCGTTGTCTGGTATTACCACGTGTTCGTGTCCCCTGGTTCCCATCTCCCCAACATGATTGCATTATGCTGTACTTGTATTGCGTTCGCGCCGCTCCTTCTTACTGTGTCTCTTCATTCGTTCGGTGGCCCTCTCTTGGTCGCCAAAATCAACGCAGCCTCACTGAATATTCACATCGTGGTGGAACAGACTAGCGCTCCATTCCTCGATGTGCTCTTCACATGCATTCTCTCTCTATCGTGCGAAACTCAAACTGTAGTTGCTTGTGCGTGCAATCAGCATGTTTTCGCCGCGAGCCACGATGTTCGTTCAAGTCGCTCTATGTGAGCGTATGTTCGTCTCGTGTTCGATTCGTGTCTGTTGTTCTACTTCTCTTTGCCCATACTTGCACTTCGCTCATGTGTGACTAGCGTGTGTTCCTCTTCCTGTAATCAGAACTGCATTGCCTTACTGTTGGACCATTTGCTTGCAAGACGTGCGACCCTCTCTCTCTCTCGTTCGGTACTGTATGTGCCAGCGGAGACAACCATGACATTAGCATGTTCATCTCGCGCTTGCCCCCACATTTTTCTTCACTGATTGGACGATTGCCTGTTAGGGTACTAACCGGACACCATCAGAAAGCAACAGGGGCGCAATCAAGATACATTCGAGGCGCTACCGAGAATGACTCGGGACACAACCGGGGCACATGTTCCTCCATCTACTCCGCCTCCTCTCCCTCTTATGCGGCCGAGCCTTCTGCTTGAAGGCCAGCACCTGTGTGGGCGGAAGCGAAAACGCTATGGGGGGAGTGGGGTCCCCCTCTTGCTCCTCATCGTCATCAGCATCATCACCGTCATGATCGTGATCATCGTCATCATCATCATCATCATCATCATCATCATCATCATCATAATCATCATCATCATTATCATCGTCATTACCATCTTTATCGTAATCCTCATCATCATCATCGGCATCGTCATCAGCAGCGTGATCGTCATCGTCATAATCATCATCATCATCACCATTCCCATCATCATCATCATCATCAACATCATCATCATCATAATCATCGTAATCATCATCGGCATCGTCCACGACATCATCATCATCATCATCACCATCATCATCATCATCATCATCATCATCATCATTGTCATCAACACAATAACACAATACTGCTCGTCAACAACATCAACGACATCATCATCGTAATCATGAACCTCATCATCGTCATCCCATGCTTGTCATCATCATCACCGTCAGTATCATCAGCCGGTGCAGCAACATCAACATACTTACCATCGTCGTCGTCGGCATCATCACCATCACCATCATGGACCTCATCATCATCATCATCATGATGATCATCATCGTCATCATGATCATGGTAATCACACTCATCACCGCCATCATCATCAACGAAGTCATTATCATCGTCATCATGGTCATCCTCATCGTCGTCATCATCATTGTCGTCGTTATCGCCATCATCATCATCGTCGTCATCATCATCGTCATCATGACCAGCATCATCATCATCATCATCATTATCGCAAGCAGTATTAGCAGCATCATGATGATTGTCATCGTAAGCAGCAACAACATCATCATAAACATCATCATCAACGCCATCTTTACCACCCATCATCATAATCATCATCGTCAGTATCATCAGCCGGGGCCAGAACATCAGCATACATACCATCATCGTCATCACCATCCGCATCATGATCATCATGATCATAATCATCATCATGATCGTTGTCAGTATCCTCATTAAGGTCACCATCGTCGTCATTGTCATCATCATCGCCGTCAACAGTACTACTAACAGTATCAACACCATCAACATACGTACCATCGTCGTCGACATCATCGTCAACGTCATCATCATCAACATCATCTTCATCATCATTGGCATCATCGTCATCATCAACATTATCATCATTACCATCACCGTCATCATCACCGTCATCATCCTATTCAGTGACATCAACACGTGCGACAACATTGGCAGACTCACCATCGTCATCATCATCTTGTTCATCATCATCATTATCGTCGTCATCGTCAGCATCATCGTCATCATCATTGTCGTCATCGTCGTCGTCATCTTCGCCATCATCGTCAACTTCACTATCATCAGCATCATCGTCATCAGCAGCATCGTCACAAGTATCATCGTATTTGTTTCCACCAGCAACAGCATCATCAACAGCATCATCAGCCGCATCAGCATCAGCATAATCATCCTCATCATCCCCTTCATCATCAACATCAGCATCGTCAGCATCAGCAACACGTGCAACAACACACACATACCTACCATCGTCTTCGTACTCGTCTTTCGCATTACCATCATCATGATCAGCATCCTCATCATCGTCATACGACGCTGATGGGCATCACCATCAACATCACCATCAGGGTTAGCATCATCAGCATCATTATCGCTGTCAGTATCACCATCATCGTCATCATCGTCGTCATCACCATGCGCATCACCGTTTTCGTCGGCAGTATCACCAACAGGTGCAACAACCTCAACATTCTTAGCATCGTCGTCGACATCATCATCTTCATCAGCTTCATCCTCATCCTCATCATCATCATCATCATCATCATCATCATCATCGTCATCACCAGTATCAGCATCGCCATCACCAACATTAGCATCATCGTTGTCGTCACCGTCATCAACATCATCACCATCGCTATCGTCGACATCATCGCCGTCATCATCATCGTCATTATCATCGGCAGGTGCAACGCCATCAACGCACGTACCATCGTCGTCGTCGGCATCATCATCATCACCATGCTAAACAGAATCGTCATCGTCATCATAATCATCGTCTTCGTCATCGTCGCCGTAGACATCATCATGATCAACATCGTTATCATCATCATTGACATCATCGTCGTCGTGGTCATCGTCATCAGCATCATCAGCATCATTATCATCATCATCATCCTCACATCCAGCAGCAGTACCATCATCAGCATCATCGTAATCAGCATCATCATATTTGTGATCAGCATTACCAATCATCAGCACCATCATCATCAACAGCATTATCATTAACCTCATTAGCATCCTCATCATCATCACCATCACCGCCGTAAGTGTCATCATAAGGTGCACAAACATCACGATACGTACCATCGTGTTCAGCATGTCATCATCATCATCGTCATCGTTATCGTCATCAGCATCGACATCATCGCAATATTATCAACATCATCATCGTTGCCATCATCATCATCATCATCATCATCATCAACATCGTCATCGTCGTCGTCGTCAGCATCACCGTCAACATCCTCCTTATCATTATCGTCGACAATGTCACCGGCAGGTGCAACAACATGAACATACTCACGATCGCCACAGACATCATCATCATCATCATCATCATCATCATCATCATCATCATCGCCATCGCCATCGTCGTCATCATCATCATCGCCATCATCATCATCATCATCGTCGTCATCATCAGCACCATCACCGTCGTCGTCACTGATATCATTATCGTCATCCTCATAAACACCATCATTGTCAGTATACTCAATAAGTGCGACTACATCATCACACTTACCATCATCGTTTTCGGCATCATCATCATCACAATCATTACCGTCATCATCATCATCATCATCATCGTCGTCGTCATCATCATCATCGTCATCACCATCATCACCATAAACAGCATCAGCATCGGAAACATCATGGTCAACAACATCAGCATCATCATCAGCATCATCATCATAAGTACCAACAACGGCATCATAATCGTTCATGTCACCATCATCATCTCCACCGTCAGTCTGACCAACTGGTGCACAAGATCATCATCAGCATCACCATCATCATCGTTTCTGTCTCCATCGTTATTACTATCAACATCATCATCCTCATCACCGTCGTCGTTGCCGTCATCACCACCACCACCGTCATCATCATCATCATCATCATCGCCATCATCATCATCATCACCCTCTCTCCTCGATATCCCTTCTGCTCCTATTCCTCCCGTGCATCATTTTCTTTCCCCGTCACTGATCCCCGCCACTGATCCCCCGTCGCACTCTCCTGCCACCATGTCTTCCCCAGTCCGCCCCCTTGCTCCTCATGTGCCCCTCCAGCCTTCCGCTCCTGCCTCATGCCCAGCTCCCCCGCCACCCTCTCCCCCCCTTTCCCTGGAGGGTTTCTCCGAAGGGCTTTAGCGACCCGTCCTCCTCCTCCTCCGCCTCCCGCTTCTCCTACTCCAACTCCTACTCCTCCTCTTCCTCCTCCTCCTCCTCCTTCCTCCTCCTCCACCTCCTCCATCTCCTTCTCCCCCGCCCCCCGTGCACATTTCAAGCCTGGTGTGAGCTCGCTTCGACGGGGTTTCGCCTCGCCCGGCTCGCGCCGCCCGGGGCACTTCGCCCGAGTTGTGGAGTGCCCTCGCCCGAGTTGCACTCCCAGGTCGCTTCGAGCGGCCCGCTTCGCCCAAGTCGCTTCGCTCGAGCGTCGCTTCGGCCGGTGTCGCCTTGGCCCAGTGTCGCCTTTGCCCAGGTCGCTCCGCCCGACGCCCCTGGAAAGCTCAGGCGCGCTCAGTCCAGAGCGGTGATGATGATGGGAACTCCTGGTCTGCGGGCTGGGTGTCACTTGAGCAGGGACAGGCCGTCCCTAACGAAAACAAGTTTCTTATAACAGAATCCCGATGCGCTAAAACAAGACAGTCTCAGCCATACACATAGTCTAAGAACATCTCGTGCAGGCCACAAAAGGTTCTTGGAACATTATTTGGTGGGCCTATGGGCGAGCCAGGGCGCTTCGCCACAGTCACACAAATCTCGGGGCCTCAAGCCTGCAGGCACCGGCTTGAATCAGCATCGGCAATCCGCCACCGAGCCTTCAGCACGCGGTGGAGTGCCCCAGGGCTCATGCAGCCCTGCGGCCCTCAGAGGTAGAAGGGCTGAAAGGCTCTCGAGAGCCTGGACCCCCAACTTCCCAGCTGCTCCTTGGAGCTCCCGGGAGCTCCCGGGAGCTCCCGGGAGCTCGTGGGAACTCCCGGGAGCTCCCCGGAACTCCCGGGAGCTCCTGGCAGCTGCTCAGTCGGGGCTGGACCTAAACGGTGTGTTTGGTGCTGTTTTCGTTTTGTGTTCCGTTTTGCTCTACCTGTTTTCCTGTACCTCCCTCCCAAAACGTAAAACAAAGCACAGCCGAAGTCCAGCAACACAGCGTTTAGGTCCAGCCCTGCCCTCGAGATCGTTTCCAGAACCGCCTCAGATGGCGACACAGAGCCCCGGAGCGGTCTAAGACAGCTTCAAGACGACCCGTCGTGGCCCCAAGACGGCCCAAGGGGCCCACAAGACGCCTCAAGAAGTCCCCAAGAGAATCCGCAAGAAGGTCCAAAGAAGCAGCATACCGTCGAATTCTTCAAAGAAAACGTACCTGTTAAGTAAATTCGCCTTTTACGTTTTCGCGGCGTCCAAGAAGGCCCAGGACACTCCCGAGATCGCCCCAACAGGCCCCGAAGATCGTCCCAAGACGGCTGAAGAGGCTCCAGAGTGGGCTCTCAAACGGCCCAAGGGGGGCCCACGAGAGCCCAAGAGGCCCCAAGACAGCCTAAGGGAGCCCTAAGACACCCCGAAGAAAGGCTCCAGTGGGGAAACACGCACGGGCATTTCGAGCGCGCGGCCCCCAGACGCCCCAAGGACGCCCCCAAGAAAGCCCGTGGCCCTCCAGAGGCCCCCGGAAAGCTCCACGGGGCCTTACAGAGAGGCCCCCCGAGAAGCTCCCCAAGGGGCCCCGACACTGCCCGCCAGAGACCCCCGAGAGGGCCCTCCGAAACCACCCCAGAAAGCATCCATGAGAACTCCCAGCCACGGCCCACGACCCATGCAGAAGACTCCCCGGAGGCTCAGCATACGCCCCACTCTCTCTCTCTCTCTCTCTCTCTCACGCACGACCCACAGCCCAGGCAAGCTCCACGAGGCCGCGAAGAGGCCTCCGAGGAGCTCCCCACGGGCCCCGCAGCTTCCCCCCAGAAGCCCCCCGAGGGCCACCCGAAACGACCCCACGCAGCACCCGTGGCCCTGGCACCGGGCCCTCGGGGGGCTCAGAGTGAGCCCCACGCCCATCCGAGGCAGAGGCCCCCTGAGGCCAACGCGGCCCCCCAGAGGGGCCCCAGCAGACCCCAGCAATCACCTGAGAGAGCTGAACCTCCGAGCACCCCCCCTCACAAACGGGCCTTTCGAGCGCGCGGCCCCGAGACGCCCAGAGGACGCCCCCAGGGATCCCCAAGAAAGCCCGAATGGGCCCTAAGAGGACCCCAAGAGGCGCCCAGAAGACCACAGGACATTTATTTGCGTGAGGTGTCTGCAAGATGCTGGCATGTGTTTCTTTTCGGCCTTCCGACGGCCCGAGACGGCCCAAGAGCCCCCAAAGATCGCCCAAGAGGACTCCAACATGGCCCCAGAACTGCCTCGGAGGCCCCCAAGACGGCCCCAAGAGGGCCCCAAGACGGCCAAAGAGGCCTCCAAGACGCCCAAGGTGGCCTCCAAGATGGCCCTGGAGCAGCCCGAAAGGGCCCCAAGTTCGCCCAGAGAGGCCTCTAAGACGGCTTCCAACGGCGTCAGACAGGCCAGGAGGCCATCAGGACGGCCCAAGATGGACATAAGATGGCCCAAGGGGCCCAGAGGCCTCCAAGAGGACCCCCAGGAAGGCCAGACGAGGCCAAACTCATTGATGGTGCTTCTTGTGGGCCTTCCGACGGCCCGAGACGGCCCAAGAGCCCCCCCAAATCGCCCCAAGAGCCCCAAAACGGCCCCACAGGCCCCCAAGACGGCCCCCAAGGGCCCCCAAGACTGCCCAAGAGGCCTCCAAGACGCCCAAGATGGCCTCCAAGACGGCTCTGGATCACCCCGAAAAGGCCCCACGTCGGCCAAGAGAGGCCACCAAGAACGCTTCCAACGGCGTCAGACGGGACAAGAGGCCATCAAGACGGCCCAAGATGGCCACAAGATGGTCCAAGACGGGCCAAGAGGTCCCGAGAAAGTCTCCAAGACGGCCCCAGAGGCCTCCGAGAGTAACCCGAGGAAGGCCCGAAGATGCCCAACTCATTGATGTGCCTTAGGTCTTTTGAACGAGTTTGGCAGTTGCTTCTTGTTGGCCTTCCGACGGCCCGAGGCGGCTGAAGAGCTCCCAAAGATCGCCCCACGATCGCCCAAGAGGCCTCCAGGATGGCCCCAGAACGGCCCAAGAGGCCCCTGAGACGGCCTCAAGAGGGCTCCAAGACGCCCAAGATGGCCTCCAAGACGTCTCTGGAGCACCCCGAGAGGGTCCCACGTCGGCCAGGAGAGGCCACCAAGACGTCTTCCAACGGCGTCAGGCGGGCCAGGAATGCCCTAGACTGTCAAAGAGGCCCCCGAGAAGCCCCAAAGGCCCCCAAGAGGCCCAAGGAGACCCCCAAGATGCCTCCAAGAGGCTCGCACGAATCCAGGAGGTCTCAAGAGTGCCCCAAGAGGCTCCCAAGATGCCCCCTCCTCCTCCTCCTCCTCCTCCTCCTCCTCCTCCTCCTCCTGCTCCTCGTCTTCCCCGACATCCTCCCCCAGGTGTTCCCCAAAAGGTTTCCACAACGGTTGGGGGAACACATGGTCCGATAGCTTGGCAGAGCTCTTGCCACAACGCCCGGCCACACGGTCGATTCCAGCAGGCCGGGGGCGACGGTGATTCGCCGTAGGCGCCGTCGAGAATCCAATGATGGAGGGCTGGTCATGGCATCTGTCGCATGCTCGTGCCGCTGGGGAGGCTCGAACACTCGTTGCCACCCGCCCCTCTCGAGCCCCTTCCCCCTCTACCCTGCAGGGGGATTTTGAGGGAAATCATTATAAGATTGAAGCAATATTCCGAAAATGCTCAAACATAGTAAAGCATCGTCCCCAGACTATTGTTTGCCTATGTTTGGATTTCCCTCCTGCGATTAAAGGAACAGGCCCGACTTAACTCTACCCCCTTCGTGCCTTGCCCTCCCTCTGCCCCCACTCCCCTCCGAAGGCCTTGCTGTCAACCTTACCGCACGGCACGCGGTCGGTCAGGCTGCTGGCAGTGGACGCGGCGCCTGCGGCAGGGCACGAAGACCGGTGGGCGGGACGCAACGGCAACAGTCAGGGGGGGGGGGGCGAGAGTTATGTTGCTCCCATCGTGCTTAGGACCACATCCCAGAAATAACTTCGAGCACCTGGAAAAGTGTCGACACAGTGTGGAAACAGTGTCGGACGAGTGTCTCTACGGGCCCGACACGTGAAAACCTTCGAGTTTCGGCACTTTCTTGGTGCTCGAAGTTCTTCCTGGTGGTCAAGGCTAAAGCAGGTGGGAACATCATAAGGCGAGACGGGGGAGAGTCCCCCCACGACGGCAGCAAGACCCAGGGGAGGCGGGCGGGGCCCCTCGTCCTCCTCCTCCTCCTCCTGCTCCTCCTCCTCCTCCTGCTTCTCCTCCTCCTCCTCCTCATCATCATCACCATCATCACCATCATCACCATCATCACCATCATCACCATCACCACCATCACCACCATCTCCACTATCTCCACCAGCAGCAGCAGCACCAGCAGCAGCACCAGCACCACCGCTCCTCTTCCTCCACCTCCAGGGCAAGAGAGGGAGGAGGGAGGAGCCCCCGCACGGCGTCCCCCGTGCGGTGGAGGCGCGGCGGACGCCGTGCGTGCGGCGCGCGCCGACGCCGGGGGGCCATGGGTCAGGACGAGCGGACCGGGAGGCGGAGCGGGCGGAGGAGCAACGGCATCAGTAGGAGACCGATTTCTGATCACACCCACTTTCCGAGGTGCCTTGCGAAAAGCGGTTTCCAGAGGTGGAGGTGGGCAGTTTCCCCGCCCCAGGGGATGGAAAAATTACCCACTTCCACCCCCGATGGCCTATCGTAGAATCGAGGATCCAGAGGTGGGTGTGGTCAGAAATCGGTCTGCGATCAGGTGCCGAGACCCTGAGAAGCAGGGAGCAAACGCTCTTCTGGTCGGCTGGCCCTGGCGCCCCCCCGCAGAACCCCAAGGGGTGGGGAGGGGTGGGGATGGGAGGGCAGGGGCGGGACCCCGGCCTCATGGGAGAGCGTTCGCTCCCGCACGCTGCGCCAGATTCCGCGCCGCGTTTCGCGCAAGAAGAGAGTTGAGGGCGCGGGAGTGGAAGGAGGGGGGAGGTGAGTAGGAAGGGGAGGAGAAGCACCAGCAGTTGCAGGGACTCCAGGCCTTCGGAGATCCGCTGCTCCAGAAAAGAACTCGCGCAATGGCCCTACACATTCCCAAGACTGCGCTTGCATCAAATTTAGGGACATGAAGAGTGACATAAACATAAAAAGTCGGAAGTCCGCACGGATTTCTCGGATCCGCGCTGGACGCCCCTCCCTGGCGCGCCTCCGGCGCGCCAGGGGCGGCGCCGGAGGCGCCGCAGGGGGCCCCAGCGCGGATCCGAGAAATCCACGCGGACCTCCGAATTCCCCCATCCTGCGGTGCTGGGCCCTCGTTTTGAGCTCCGCGTCCCTCCCTCTCCTCCCGCCTCCTCCTCTTCCTCCTCCTCCTCCTCCTCCACCTCCTCCTCTTCCTCCTCCTCCTCCTCCTCCTCCTCCTCCTCCTCCTCCTCCTCCTCCTCCTCACTCCTCCCCCTCCGAGCTGCGTTTCACCCACCCAGTGCAACGCTTCGTGGCCCCATAAGGAGCTCCACCGAAGGCCCCACTGGCAGGGTTCGCATGGCGGCCTCGCATTTTGGCGCACCCCTCACACGGTTCGTGGCCCCATAGGGAGCTCCACCGAAGGCCCCAGCGGCAGGGTTCGCATGGCGGCCCCGCGCCATTTGGTGCGCACCCCTCACACGGTTCGTGGCCCCGTAAAGGGAGTTCAACCGAAGGTCCCAGTGGCAGGGTTCGCATGGCGGCCCTGCATTTTGGCGCACCCCTCACACGGTTCGTGGCCCCATAGGGAGCACCACCGAAGGCCCCAGTGGCAGGGTTCGTGGCCCCACAGGGAGCTCCACCGAAGGCCCCAGTGGCAGGGTTCGCATGGCGGCCCCGCGCCAGTTTGGCGCACCCCTCACACGGTTCGTGGCCCCACAGGGAGCCACACCAAATGCTCCAGTGGCAGGGTTCGCATGGCGGCCCCTCCTCATTTTGGTGCACCCTTCAGACGGTTCGTGGCCCCACAGGGAGCTCCATCGAAGGCTCCAGTGGCAGGGTTCGCATGGCGACCCAGCGCCATTTTGGTGCGCGCCCCTCACACGGTTCGTGGCCCCATAGGGAGCCACACCGAAGGCCCCACTGGCAGGGTTCGCCTGGCGGCCCCGCGCCATTTTGGTGCGCACCCGTCACACGGTTCGTGGCCCCAGAGGGAGCTCCATCGAAGGCCCCAGTAGCAGGGTTCGCATGGCGGCCCCGCGCCATTTTGGCGCGCACCTCTCACACGGTTCGTGGCCCCAGGGAGTTACACCGAAGGCCCCAGTGGCAGGGTTCGAAGGGCGGCCCCGCCCCATTTTGGCGCACCCCTCGCACGGTTCGTGGCCCCACAGGGCCACCGAAGACCCCAATGGCAAGGTTCGAATGGCGGCCCCGCCCCACTTTTGGCGCACCACTCACACGGTTTGTGGCCCCATACGGGGGGTCCAACCGAAGGCACCAGTGGCAGGGTTCGCGTGGCGGCCGCGCCCCATTTTGGCGCACCCCGCCCACGGACGGCCCGTGGCCCCACAGGGAGCTCCACCGAAGGCCCCAGTGGCAGGGTTCGCGTGGCGGCCCCGCCCCATTTTGGCGCAGCCCTGCGGTTCTCACACTTGCAGATGGGTGGGTCTTCCGCCAAGATAATTTTGTTTTTGTCATCAGTCGTTCCCCCAAAGTTGAGGGTTCGCTTGTCTGTGTCTGGGGGTAGGAAATGGGTGTGGTGTACAGGGCCTGTGGTGCCAATGCTGGACCTGGCGAGGTTATCTACCGCAGGTAGCATCGCCATTTCCACGTTTGGCACCACACCCCTTTATGCCACACCCCTTTTCCGACTTTAAATTGTGGCATGCCCGGGTGTTCGGCCGGTTGACGTTAGGTCGGGCATGTCCTCCTACAGGCGGATTCTGGATGAAAAACGAAACCTCGTCGCCTGACTATCTTGTGACACTATTTTTGATGATTCCCCCCGTACAAGGACGCGCCCGACTTCAGGCTGTCGCCCAAAGGGCGCTCGGCGCCGCCGCCTCGTCGGCTCGAGCGTTTCTGGGGGCCTTCGGGGCGGTGGGCGCCCGCGGCTGCCCCTCGTGGCCGCCTCTCGCGGCGCCTCACTGTGGCGGGTTTGCCGCGCGCTCTCGGCCGGCGGCTCCGCCCGTGGCCGCCCCGCGGCCGCTTCGACCTGAGATGCAGCAGGGGGGAGGATTGAGGGTGAGCGAGAACAGTCGCGAAGCGAAGATTCAACAACACACGCCCCGCCCTGAGCTTGTCGAAGCAGGCGACGAACAGGAGGAGACGCACTCCAACCCGTACGCGGCCGGCTGAGAAAGAAACCCGTGAACACCGAGATGATACCATGGATGGGCCCCTTCAAACAGTGACGGCGCCCACGGTGTAGAGGGTCACAAAGCATGGCGTAACTTAAGCTGAGATGAATTCGGTTCGATGCGGCCTACTACAGTGTGAAGAGATCACTGGTCATCGGGCAACCCAGACGGATCGCCTCCTCCGAAAGAGCGTGATCCACCGCCGCTTTACTGTGGAAAATTCCCCCCCTCTTCCTCAGGAGCCCCCCCCCGTCCGAAAATCCCCCCCCCCCCCCTGCTGGACCCCCATCCATCCCTCCCCCCCCCTCCCCTGACCCCTCCCCCCCCCCTCTCGAAAACCGGGGGGTCACTACCGGTTCGAACCCCCCCCTCCCCCTCGAAAGCTGGGGGGGGGGGTCACTACCGGTTCAAATGACTCCCGGTCCCTACCACCGTCCGCGCCACATCCCCCATTGCTGTTCCCAGCGCCAGTGTCCTCACCACCACTGTCCCCGCTGGTTCCACCGTCGTCCCTACTGTCCCCACCAGTGCCCCCACCGCTGTCGCACTGTCCCCACTGTCCCCGCCACTGTTCCCACCACTGTTCCACTCTCCCCACTTTCTCCACGGCCCCAACCACTGCCCGACTATCTCCACTGTCCCCACTGTCCCACTGGCTCCTCCGCTGTCCCACTGAGCTGTCCCACTGTTCCCACCGCAGTCCCCAGTATCCCCACCGCTGTCCACACTGTGCCTCTGTCCCATTGTCCCACCGCCGTCCTCGCCACCGCCTTCACCACTGTCCCCACCACCACTGTGCCCTCCACTGTCCCACTGTTTCCACCACATCCCCAGTGTCCCCACACCGCTGTCCCCACCACCACCGTCCCCACCAGTGTCCCACTGTCCCCACTGTTCCCACCTCACCACTGTCCCCACCACTACCGTCCCCACCACTGTCCCACTGTCCCCACCGTTGTCCCGCTGTCCCCTCACCACTGTCCCCACCGCCACCGTCCCCACCACTGTCCGCACCCCCTCCCTCGGTTTTCGAGGGGGGGGGGTTCGAACAGGGAGCGACCCCCCCCCCGGCTTTCGAGGGGGAGGGGGGGGTATCGAACCGGTAGTGCCCCCCCCCCCCCCCTTTTCATGATGGACTGGGGGGGGGCGGGGAGGAGGGGTTCGAACCTGTAGTGACCCCCCGGTTTTCCGGAGGGGGGGATGGGGGAGGGGTCCGAACTGGTAGTGGCCCCCCTCGAGTTTTCCGCCAGCAGCGGTAGAACACGCTCTTTCCCTCCTCCACAGACAGCCTACCAACGGCCAAAACAAAACGACCATAACACAGCAAGCGAACGACTGTGTGTCCACCCCTTCAATACACCCAAGCTGCTACAGGGGAAATTGAAATAGTGAATTGAAATAGTCTCAGAACCGCGCTCCAGCGAAAAAGACGCCGCCCGAGTGGGTCTGAGATGGGTTCGAAGCCCCCGTGCCCCCCGGTTGCGGACGGGATGCCGATGACGAGGTCCAAGGAGAGCACCACGACGAACACAGCCGCGCTCCGTCGCCCGAGTGGGACTTAGATGGGCTCGACGCCCCCTTGCCCTTCGGTGTGGACGGGATGCCGAGGAGCATGTTCGGCAAAGTGCGAAAATTGAAATACAATGCTGCGAAAACGTAAAATCTGCCTTTTTTTTTTGCCATCCTACACTGAGAATAAGTGTCTTCAGAACGGATCTGTGGTGGGAGCCCCCAAGCGCCACGAGACGGCAATGGGCTGGGTGTTCCATGGCTAGCTCGATCCCAAATGGGTACGATGCCTTGGGCCACCCGTGCTTGAGAGGGGAGAGGATTGAGGAGGAGGAGGAGGAAGAGGAGGAGGAGGAGGAGGAGGAGGAGGAGGAGGAGGAGGAGGGGGAGGAGGAGGAGCAGGAGGGGGATGGGGAGGAGGAGGAGCAGGAGGAGGAGGAGGAGGAGGCGGAGGAGGAGCAGGAGGAGAAGGAGGAGGAGGAGGAGGCAAGGCAAGGCACTCAGTGGAATGTCCCCAGGTCCCTTCGAGCCCTCTGCCGCGAGGCTCCTGGTGAGCCTGGAAATGGGCCCGCAGCCCGAGCTCGCGGGGCTCCCCGGCGTGACGGATTCCAGGAGGCCAGGACGTCCCAAGAGAATCCAAAGATGGCCTCCGACGGTCCGAGGAGGCCCCCCCCCGGGATGGCTGAGGACCGCGGGGTGGTGAGTCGGAGAGGGGAGACACGCAGGGGGGGAAGAAAGGGAGGAAGACGGAGGAAGAGAGGGACAGGACGATAGAGGAGGACGAGGGGGAGGGGAAGAGAGCCAGGGAGGGGAGAGAAAACGTTGGCAAGGGGGAGAAGGGGGGGAATGAAGGAGCTGGAGGGAGTGACGGAGGCCTACAGGACGAGGAAGGGGCAGAGCAGGAGACAGAGGAGACAGATAGAGAGGAAAACGAGGACGCGGCACGAGGCTGAGAAAGAGATCAATAAGGAGAGAACAAGATCCATCAATACACTTGGTCAGGAGGCTTCGGGCCAGGAGCGGGAAGAGGTGGATATGGAAACCAAAGTGAAGGTGCAGACCGCCGAGTAGGACGAATAGATAGGATGAGGAGAACGAAGGCGAGATGAAGCAGGGTGGAGGATTGAAGAAGAGGTAGAGGAGGAGGAGGAGGAGGAGGAGGAGGAGGAGGAGGAAGAGGAGGATGAGGAGGAGGACGAGCAGCAGAAGCAGCATCAGGATGCAGTGGAGGGAGGACGAGGAGGAGGAGGAGGAGGAGGAGGATGAGGGGGGGAAGGAGGAGGAGGAACAGGAGAGCAGAGGAGGACAAGTACGCGACGCCTCCTGAGCAGTCCGGCACGAGGCCGTCGCCGAAAGCACTCGCCATCGGCGTCGGCTCCTCGTGGAAGCCCGGCGCCTGTGGCGTTGGGGCAAGTAGGCCCAGGCGGGCGTGACTGAAGGACTTCTGGGGAGGTAGACGGAAGGAGGGCCTGGGATGCAACTGGACCTGGGATTCGAACAAAAAGGGCCTGGGATGTGACTGGCGAAGGCGGCAAAAGGAGGGAACAAGAAGGGACGATATGGAGGGCTGGCGGGGGAGAGGGGGTTGAAGGCAGCCCCGATGTTCTGTTCCATCGTTTTTGAATCGTCGTACTCAATAGGTAGATTTGCCCTCGTGCAGAAATGCAAAAAGTCCATCGCCAGCATAGATCCCCTGGGGTTGCCCCTGCGACCGCGGCGCTGACAGGGATGGGGGCAAGCCAGGTGCGCTCCCGCCCTCGTCTTGCCCCTCCCGGCCATCGCGCCCCACTGCGGCGATGCCATTCTCTGTCCGCGGGCGCGTGTCACAGCGGACCTGGAACTCCCAGAGAGACCCCACCGTGATGTGCGTCGTCGGAAAAGGGGAACTGCGCACGCAGGAGGAAAGAAGGAGAGGAGGAAGAGGAGGGGGAGGATCATGATCACAACGGGGAGGAGGTGGTGGATGAGCAGGATGATGAGTATGAGGAGACGGAAGAGGAGGACGAGGACGATCAGCAGCTCCAGGAACTGGAATAGAAGAGCGGGGGGAGCAGAAGTACCAGGGGAAAGAGGAGGAGGGAAAGGAGTGGGCGACAACGATGAGGAAGGACTCGGATATGGCAAACTGGCCCGCGCTGGGGCGAGAGCGTCAATCTGAACGACGTGAGCAAAGCGCCGATTTGAAACTTCGGCCCCTGCTGCAACGAGAACACCATTCTGGAACACTGAGAACGATCGGTTAACAAAACCACGGGGAAATCTCGTTTGCAACCCTGTGGCCAAAGACCTACCCAGAAAAGGCCAGACATCTCCCGGACAAC